GAGGAATATATTGCACTTCATGTTACAGAAACAGTCAATCAGTATGACTTATTAATGGCAAACAAAAAGAAAATCATCACTTATTACCATCAAAAACTCTGCAAGACATTGGGAAGTTTTTCCACATTGGTTTTGAGCTCAGAAATACAACCATTTATACAATTACAGAAACTAAAACTGCTTTTTCTATCCTAAATTTAGTAGTAGAAATGTTGATAGAAAAACAGACACAACAAATAACAAAGGTGTTTTGATGATCTGTATTTAACAGAAACTTGTGAGTTTATTGGAAGATGACACTGGTAGAGACCAGTAGTCCAACAAGGGTCAACTGCATGACAAAAACAAAGACAACCAGTCAACTTTTAATGAAACAAAAACATTTTGTTCATGAGAAGCAGGTAAAAACAACATAAGTTAACATGGCTGCTTTATATGTACAAAAAAAAAAATAAAATTACACATTATAAAAAAAGAATCATTGGCTATTTACAAAATCTGTACAGGTGTGAAGAAGTCCTCCTGCTGCAAAACAAAAAATAAAATGCACGTTAGACAAGGTCTCACATTTTACATTCAAAATGTCCTAAATATTCAAATAAATTTTCCGCTACAACTTCAAGTCCTTCCTTCTTACCTATAAACGATTGAGCAGGTTGTTCTGAATGTCCTCGTACACCTGGTCGTAGATTTCTTTTTTGGATTTCAAACCATCAAGGTACTCTGCAACGAAACACAAAACGTATTTTTACACCAAAAACTGATAAAAACTCCAGCCACAGACAGGTGGAACACTGCAATGAGATTTGGTTTACAAATATGGACAGTGAATCGCATCGTACCGATATTCAAACCAAGGTCTTCCATCTGCTTTCTGTGCTTCAGGTACATGGGCCACACATGACCGTCAAACAGGCCAGGAGGATCAGGGACGGTGTACTGTCTGGTACTAAAATCATAATAATAAATAAAGTAAGTTAATAAGATTAATGTAGAACAGTGTGAGAGCACAAAATTAGCTCACCTTCTCCTTCTTTTGCACTCCTCATAGGGGATTGCGAGGTAGTAGCATTTGTTGAAAACATCCAGCAGGGGCCTAAAGGGGAGAAGCAAAGGTGTTGACCACATGTCACATAAGACATCCCCCATGTAAAAGAACAGAGCTATACAACTGTTCATGCTGTCCTTTATCTACGTCTCTGCAGCTTGCTTGACACTCATCACTAGTACACTGAGTACCCACCACCCTGCTGTGACTGCAAACGACCACTCAGAGCCTCATTCTGCTGAAAACCTTATCTCTTCCTGCAGACCCATCTCAAATCTGCTTGCTAGTGAGCACGAGCCAATGGGAGCACGCAAAATTAGCACGTGACTGGACAGAACTAACGACGCCCTTACATCTGCAATCATGAATATTCGGGTTTCAGAGAACCAAGATGGCTCAATCTCTGGCACTTCTTTTAGTTTGCATCATAGAAGCTGGAAAGTAGCCAAGATGGCTGCTGCATTCACAGCAAGAACAAACTAGATTTACATCCCTAACAGCCAGCCATTCAGAACAAAACAGTCAATGAGCCTACGGGTAGTTGTAGAGCAGGAAGCCTTCAACGATCAGAATGTGGATCTGTTCGTCAGGGTAGCCAACGTCAGGAACAGGAGCCAGGGCGACGCCGTGGGAGCGGGCGAACTTTGCCGGGTTCTCGATCCAGCCCTTTATCGTGTTGGTCATGGCTTCCATGTCCATAGCTGTGATTACTGTGGAGCACGAGACAGGCAGAGAGAAAGAAAATAACAGAAACAACGAGAGAAGGTTAGAAAAAAATCCCAACAACAGCTGTAATGATTTATGAAAGTGTTTGCTGCTTGGATGTTACTACAAATGAATGTTTTAGCTCTAACTGATGCAACTGCGGAGGATGGGGTCTACTACATTAGATATAAGGTCGAGTATGAGTCACTGGCAGTCTTCAGTGAAGTCTTACCATCCCACTGTCTAAAGCCGTCCTCCCCGACTTCTATTTGATCGGGTTTCTGAAATAACAGTCACCAATAAAACATTGCTGGAACCTCACGGCTCTGAACACTTGCAGATCTCACTCACATGCCACAAAAGTTAGGCCAAACGAGTGAGGAAGAAAAGGCAGAAACAGAAGGCACAAAGCAGATGACGTGCATAAAACTAAGCAAGCGTTAGTATGCAAAGATAATATGGTGGAGGACAGATAAAATGAAGAAAAGTCAAATATTTAGTATTAAGTTAGATGATTAGAAGAGGCTAAGAATAAAAGCAAATAATAGGAAACTTAAAAACAAAGAAAATGTGATCAACATATAAAAGGAATAGCATGGGAATGAAGGAAATGGGGGGGAAGGGAAGGCTTCCAAAGGCCAGACCTCCCACTCCGATTACAGACATAGCTCAGGCAGTAGCAATGAATGGAAAAGATGGCAAATTATCACAATAAACTTAACCAATCACTAAGTGAGACTCACCTTGAAAAAGTCATCCTGGTGCACAACACAGCAGTTGGGCAAAGTCTGGATCAGTTTATTAGTCAGAGTGGTTTTACCACCATTAGTAACCCTGTAAAAAACAAAGACAATTACACAAAATGAGCATTGCTTCACTTCTAAAGGTCAGATTGTGGTTCGAAGTGGTTGAAATAGCTGATAAATGACAGTTATGTGGTGTGTCGTTTAGATCCTATTTTAGGTTTCAGTCTCAAAAAGGCAACTTTTTCTAAAATATCTGTTAATTCTACTAATTAGTATGACTTAGAATACAAAAAAATACAAATTAAATACAAAACAAAGAATATAAATACAACACAAAAGGAAATTATAGCAAGTTTAGGAGTTACAATTATATATATGTATATATAAAAAACATTTCTCAGTAAAATAGCTGAAAATAAAAACGACAATGTTCTGTTTATGTAGAAATCAAACAAAAAGGTTTTTCTATAATGCAATAAAAACCTACAACTTTCTGACTAGAAAGCCTGGATAAAAAGTAACTGATAAACACAATAAAGTTAAATAATGCAGAGGTTTTAGGTGAAATGGACAGATCTCCCTCCACTTTTGAAGAAAATCACGCGGTGAATTTTTAAAAGTCCCGCTCGATTTATGACAACAAACCAAACCGGATGTGACTTCATTTTTTTAGTTTTTCCGGCGGGCGGCTGATAAAACATGCGGACATTCAGAGAACATCAACCACAAACTCACAAAAACCTTAGTCAGAGACAGATTAAATGTTAAATATACAGTTCGTTGCTGTATTTTTTAAACAACTACACATGTTCCTTTAAATAAAAACAAAGCACTGGATGGCTTGTTTCAGCATTACTACACGCAAGTTTTAAATTTTCTGCAACTTTTACAGCAGGAATTACAAATAATGCAGTTATAATTAAAAAAAACCCTCCTTATTTGTAAAGTAAAGGACACCTACCCGCCAATTCCTATAATGTATTTCATCTTTTCTTCTTCTTTCGACAGTCTTCCCAGACGTCAGTTGATATAAAGATCTGAAACACCAAACTCTGGTCGAAACTCCAACAGATATAAAGTTTTTTAAAAGTATTTAAGCTTGTAGTCCTGATGCTGCTCACTCCTCTTGTCTCTTTACTGAATTGAGCCTAGAGGCATTTCACTTTATATCCTGCCTGCCTCCTTTTGCGTCACAGCTTACGCAAGGACTGGGCGTTCTCGTGCTACAGCGTGCCGCTGCAACCCCTCCCTTCCGCACCCCACGTTACGTGCCTCCTCAAGACAGCCAATCAGAGCCCACGCAGTCACTCAACGACAGCCAATCACCGCGCGAGGACCACCACATATTTACATATTTTCCCCACACCTGCTGTGGTCCGTACTCTTCCATTCAGCAGTTAATCCTCCTCCTGAGGCTACAGCTGTGGAAAACTACCATTGATGGTGTCGTATGGATGCACTAAAATAACAACTGTGTGATGTGTCATTTACAGGGAGATGTCTGCTGATGTGCTCGCAGTTAAGGTCACATTACTAGTAAATGGCAGCTAGCTAAACAAGCTTGGCCTTGGAAATATGTATGTTAGAAGCAAAAGCTTAGCATACCACCAAAATAGAAACAGCTGAAACCAGAAGTTTACATACACAAATAAAAATGAACAAAACCTACTGGAATTGTTTACATATATAGTAGTCTGATGTGCCTGTTTTTAATATAAATGCACAAAGTAATGCATTTAATACCGCATGACTTTGTGTCAGTTCTTGTGACACAATTTTCTCACAAATGTGTGTCAGGTATTTGAGGACAGTGAGCTTTTTTATTAGACAGCAAGTTAAATGGAAACCCAGTAATTAGGCCACATGTCAATGGTTCAAATGGGAATTAGGGCGACAATATGGTCCCTGCCGAATAATTTTGTCTCTGCCATAAAAGTTTTATTTAAATCAAAATAATTAAAGGTATTCATGTCTGTAACGTCGGGTTACTTGCAGGAAAGTAACTGCTTTAAAGGAAATTTAATTTGATATACAATCATAAAATGTTGCCCTGTGCTTATTAATGTCCCCACGTGTCTGGACTTTGAATACTTGTCTGGAGATTGATTCTTCTAGATTAATGTGTCCCAGTAAGAGCTGCAGTGAATTGTGACAAATCTCTAGATCTGATGTCGTTACAAAAACCCCTCCAGACCAAGATAAGACACATTTCACGTTTGTCTTATCTCGACCGTCACACAGCCCAGTACACACATGCAGGTTACACTCTCACCAGCTGAAATGGTGAAAGGTTGATTCTGAGCCACTTTTCAACACGTGCACACACTATGCTTTCTGTGGGGAAAAATTGCCCACCTTCATCCTCTAAGCCTGTGGTTCAGAAACAAATCCCAGTAGCTGTTTTCATAACACAGCGGTTTACAGGTGACACAGGAGCACGTTTCAGGGTCCAGCAGGTCAGACGGACGAGAATGTTTTACAAACAAAAACATGCCAAGACCTTGAAGGATTTAATTTTATTTTTGCCATATTTACAGCCAGTTTTAGACCATGACAAGTGAGAGTTCACATGATCATTTTAATCTGAGCAAACGATTTACAGTAAAATGATAGACATATGTTTGTGTTGTGCTTTTACAGTGAAAATGAGGATTTTTATTTCAGAAGAACTACAGGGCAGGTGTATGCCAGGATTTCTCATGGCATTGGTACATTATAAATAAAAATGAAAATACAAAATGCTTCACTTTACATTCTGGTATCTATTTAGATTTCATTCGAGTTCAACAATAGGCACTCTGTTCAGCCACAAAACCAGCCTATTTGGAAACAATGTGAAAACATGATACACAGAGAAAGAAATATTTAACCCTTTATGCAGAATTCCTGGTTAAAAAAGTTAACAGAATGTGAAGTGAGCTTTTTAAAACTGTTTACTTTATGAAACATGCCTAAATACATGGGTTTTGCTCACATCACAATTAAAAACAGTCATTGAACATAAAACAGTAACATTCTGTAAGAAACCAAATGCAGTAGTGCAAATCAACATCAAAAACACAAACGTTACCAGGCATGTGATTGAAATGTTCTCTTCCCTTACTTCAAGAGGCTGTAAACACAGACAACATAACAATAAAATGGATTTTCTGATTGCTTAATCTTGTTTCAATATTTCTGCTTTTAATAAAAACAAGTTGAAGTTGATACTCTCCAAATGGGCAAAATCCAAGCTGCATAAATCTTACCTATCTAAGAATAAGAGAGGGGATAGCAGATGCTGACGGTCATAGTTTCTGCAGAGACAGCCACTACAGACCTCAAAATATCATGTGGCCTAAAGATTAGCTCAAAAAAACTTGATTTAGAGAGCTTTGTGAAGTGGGTTTCCATGAACAAGCAGCTGCACCCATGTGTTACAGAACGAAAGATGATGAAAAACTTCAGTAGTGGTGGTGTGAAGCAAGCCAACACTGGACTCTAGAGCAGTGAAGACCTGTGGAGTTGTGAATCAACTCAACCCGACAGAACAGCTCTGATATGAATTAGACTACAAGCCAAGTATTCTCCAAAAGTAGTGTCTGACCTCAGTAATGCAATATTGGAAGAATGGTCTAAAATAAAATAAAACCATACCTAAACCTCCTGCAAAGTCTTCCCAAATGATCTGAAGCTGCTACAGATGCAAAGGGTGCTCTGAAATAATTTTAAACCCTGTGGTTTAGGAAAAGGAAGACAATTTCAAATGTCTCCAAACATAGGTGAGCAAATACTTTTTGCATCATAGTATTTTTAAGTCTAAGCATAAAACTAACATCTTAAAATGCATTAGAAATAAATTTGATGTATTTTATTTCCTATGTCCAATCTAAAGTGGAATCTCTGACTGTGTTAGTATCTGTTCAGTCTATAAAAACATGAATGTGGAAGGAAGCAAAATGAAAATTATACTTACAAACTAACAAACTAACTATCAAACTGTTAATTTGTCCTGTAGATCTTTTTAAAATGTGGGTTTTCTAGATTAGAAAATGCAGGTGTGTAGTTATGCAGGCACATCATAGCACACAATACAGTATAAGAGATAGTTCACATAGCAACTGAGGTCAGGAAGAGAAAAGACTGACATAAAGAAATGTTAGTATATTTAGACTTTTTAAAAAATACCAGAACAATTAAGACAGAGCTTGGAAAGGCCTTAAAGATACAGCAGCTATGAGGTAAAAAGAAAGACAGATGAAGGCAACTTTCACTTTGCTACATCTGACACAATGATATCTTCAAAAACTTGCAGCGAGAGAGAGCAGTTTATTTTAGTGGAGCTCTCACATAAAAACTCTCCTCCCAATGTGTTGCATCTTAAAAATGTTCATGTTTTTGCCACTGAAGTTGGAGAAGCACTCTACATTTTGAGCTTTAAAAAATGCATTTTTTCAGTTACTCTGATTTATGCTTTATTATTAAATCAGAGGGAGTGATAATCTTTCTCAACATAAATTACATCACTGAAAAAACCCCCAAAATCAATTAAATGCCTCATCATGGTCCAGCAATTCAATATCAATCCCAAATCAGGTCTTGCAACAGGCAGCAACAACTTCCAATGAGAACAGCTTCTGTAACAGAACAGCCACTTGTACATTTTCAAGCTGGGAGAGTATCCCACTTTAAATATCAAATGACAGAGTTGTTATCCTTTTGACTGGGGAACAACATGAGAAATCAGCTGGTTATGCATAAAATATGGGAGAAAGTGTTGACTTGCTGGATGTCTCTATGTCACCCCCTGTATGCACACAAACAAATGTTGGAAAATAAAACAGATTTTAAAGTTGTTGAAAAATCAGCTTGATCCTTTCCATGCAAGAAATAAACAATAATCGAGTCTATTAATCTCTTTATTTCATCTTTCTAAAAACTAGCAACGTCCTTTTAAAGATGTCTGACTGTACAAATGACAAAATACAGACGAGGGATTAATTGCAAGCCTTTTTATGTTAGTATTTGTTCTTCATAATAAACAGGACATTTTTGCTGAAGCCTTTGCAGGACTCTCCAACAACAAAAATATTTTGCCATGGTGGTAACAATGGTAATACCTGGCTTTTTGTGTGTTTTGTGCAGTGCTGAGGTCTACAGATTTGCTGGGTGGGGAAAGCTTTTCATTTTCAAAGCTTTGCAGCATTTAAAGAAACAGGGAACAATAAAACATAATGGCTCAGGCTATAACTGTATTTAGGACAGCAGTGGCTCTTTGTTGGTTGCATTATTGTCTGTCACAGTTCTGGGGATCAAAGATCACTTGTTGTTTGAGGTAAAATAACAGCTAGTTGAAGCTTTAAAACTATTCCAATGATATTTTTTTATTGGTGGAGACAGGGCTGAAGAGTTGTGCATGATTTGTTTCATTCTGTTACAGGTTACTGTTCACCAATCTCTGCATAGAATAGTAGATTCTAAGAATCATTTTCTTTGGCAACATTTTGACATGACTCATTCGTCTTTGTATGACATTTAGAAAGTTGCATCTTGCTGTTTTGTTCAGTCTATCTGTCAGGCTGCTGGTTACAACCAGTTCAAACTGTCTGAAACCAGTCTGAGCCGGTGAAAATCCTGTTCTACTACCAATCAGTCCAAACATTTGGGTTTTAGGCAACTAAGTCATGATTATGTTTCAGCCAACAGCAGCTATAACATTCATATTTCTTTATTTTAAAATCCTCTAAAAAAAAAAAATCTAATTTACACAAAAACATTAAAAAACACTAACCACTAAAACATACTCAAACTATTGTCATGAAACAACTTTTTAGATCTTGAAACTTTGTTGAAACTTTAAAACTTGCAGACATAGACCTCGTAGACAAATTTGAAAATTAATCTTCATGTACGGCCGGGCCCACTTTCTGCTTGTGAGCTCTGGTTAGGGGCCCAATAGTCAGTTCAGGCACCGCCAGCCTCTGGAGGATCCTCCACTTTGAGGTTCCAGAGGCGTCAGCGGCTTCAAATAACTGTTTGCTGCTTTGTAAAGGCATTTTAACAGCTGCTCTCTGAATCCGATGAATTTGTCTAACCGAAACCTTCCTCATTATGCCTTTATCTGTACAAACCCATCTTTGTTCTGAATCAGCCACAAATCTCTTCACAGTACAAAAACACTATATCTAATGCTTTCATATCTTGTCACATGACACTACACTATCTGATGATTTTCATCAGCAGAGATCCTTGCTCTTTCCCATATTGCTTGAAACCTGTGGCCTGCTTAATAATGTGGAACATCCTTGTGGAACTGAGCTCACCAGACAAACTAATCAACCAAGATCTCTGAAATTAATTATAGTGATTCAAAGAGCCCTGACACACAACGCCGTCTATAAATTTAATAGCACAACAAAAAATTAAATCTTTATGACACTTAAATCCAATTTGCATAATAATTTGGAACATGAATAGTAGGAACCGCAAGCCTCAAGCAAGCCTCTATATACACCTAGCAGATATGTATACCTTGAAATAAAAAAACATGCTGTAGTTGCTGTAGTGCGGAGCTGTAAAGCGCAATCTCCAGGCTCCAGGTTAATATTTGAGTGGAAATGTATGTTGTTGGTAACGTGATAAACTCATTATAGAACAGAGTCATCTTGTGGCTAAAATAGGAAAAACAACATGGGGCTCATTTTACCTGCACACTCAAGGTCTTGTCCTTCTCATAATCATTGCTCCACAATCATTGATTTTGGCCTGAAAAATAGGAAAACAGAAAACTTCTAAAAGCAGGGCAATGCACCAGAAACCTGAGCCGGATGTGAATCCACACAGTAAAATATGTCAGGATTCAGAAGCCTGTGGTCCTGTACCTCACAGAGCTTTTAATTGGCCCCTGTGGGACTGACTGCTGCTCTTGCTGTCGCCGCTCCTGCTCCATCCTGCACACCCACACGAACACATAAAAAAAACAGCTTTTCTAAGCATTTCTCATGGTGCCCACTTTTCTAAGATTCCAGAGATAATTATGTGCAACAGGTAAATTAATTTAAAACTCTAAACAAAGGTTTGAATGCTATTAAGTTTGATTATTATGCATGAGGGTTATTACTTTGTCATTTAAATCACATAAATCTATATTTTTACCTTTCCCTCCGGGCTTTAATCCTTTCTTCATCATATCTAAAACAAGTAGAACTCAGTTACAATCTTTAATTCTAACAATAGGAGTCAGCCTGTTAAACCTATTATTTAAACACATTTAAACAGATCAGCGGGAGTTTCTTTTAGGCGCATTTACATCAACCATTATTTTACAGCTGCGGTAACTGCTCTTTGTTTTCCTTCGTCTCCATCTAGTGGTCAAATGTACTTACTGCATCACACACTCGGGAACATGGACGTGCTCCATGGGAACAATCTCTGCAAGTTCATCCAAACTGTGGACGTACCGGATCTTATTCATGAACTTCACACTGCAGAGAGTGACAGAAGGAGACAGAAAAGTTATAGCAAATAGCAGCCATATTACACATTACTTACCACTTGTGTTTTTGTATTGGATTACTTTTATTTACCCTCATAGTCCTTAAGTTGGTTTTAATTTGGTCTAGCTTCAGTAGAGGACCTGAGCTGAACCAAGTCCTCTGATTTAGTTCAGAGGACTAAATGATGATCTGCATATCAGAATTAAAGCTTGACTTGATGCTTTTCCCTTATAATAACCTTTATAAGGATGTTATAAGGATGCATTTAAGGTAAATCTATATTCATCAGCTTGTGTAAATAAGTCTCAATTGATGCAGAACAACATAAAAAACGTATTTAATATCCACATCAAACCATAAAGCACGCCTGTACAATATGCTCGACCTTTTTTGGCCGAACAATAAATTACAGGTGCTTGCTGGAGAGTTAGTGGACTGGGGTCTTTAAAAAAAAGAGCCACGGATACAGGAAGATGTCCTATCCACAGAGCAGCCTGAAGTTGCAAGCTTCCAAACACACAAATACTGTGGGGTGCAGCTGCAGGGTGAAAAATGAAACCACTAGCAAAGGGAGATACAGGAGGACTTTCTAAACCTCAAATAAACCTTCGATTGAGCACTGATGATGTAAATAAGCCCATTGTTGTCTTTCAGGACGGAGGCATTAAGAGATTGACTTGTTGCTGTTACCTGATGAAAGGCCTGGATATCGCCAAAACTGTGCGTATAAACCATGTAGGATGAGCAATGACCAGAGACTTGAGGTTCTTCCTCAACCTGAAATTGTAAAAATTAAAAAGAGATGATTTTTTGTTGTGTTTTCCTAATATAAGTGAACATTCAACCGAAACTAGTAGTCACAGAAGACACTGAACACTAATAACTGGTTGTCCAATCCCTTCCTGTTCTAAATGCAGCTGTGAGTCACCTTCAGCTTACTGATAGACAACATGACAGCTTCTATTGCTGTCTCTGTCAAACGTGTCATTATCAGCATCACACATTTCTCTCTGACCTTGGAGAAAAAATATTCATTGGTTTTAAAGAGCAGAGCATCCCTAATGCAGCTTTGCAGGATGCAGGATAAGACTTAAAAACCCAAGTCGCTACTGAATGTTAGTCTTTGTACTATATTTCTCATTTACTCACCTTCTGTCAATCATTTGGTAGCATTTTTTCAGCCAGCTGATTCCAGGCATCTTACTCCGAGGGGTGGCTCCGTTCATGTAAATGATCAAGTAGTCTTCGGCCACCAGCATCTCAAGACTGCTGACCACATATCTGCAGGCGGAAGGAGGGGTGAGAATTTACTTTATGGTTACAAGTTTTAAAAAGCCTGATCTGATCTAACGAACAGACGTACAGAAAGAGGTTTTCCATGATGTAGTGGTAATCTGGACAGCTGCTGTCAGGCAGGTAACAAGCAGAGAACACAATGATGGCATTCAGGCCTTCTCCATAATAACCTGATGAGAGAAGCACAGAATATTTCTTCTGAGTTTTCTGAAGCGGACATAATATCTTTAAATCAAATGTCTAAACATTGTCCAGTTGACACTGACCTCCATGTGTGATGACCCGGAGGTACGGTTTGATGATCTGCATGTCGATACGGTGCTCCTGCTCTCCAATAATCACAGTTCTCCACAGTCGCCCATTGTTTGCATTCCCAAGCTCAGCCGGTGCTCCGGAGCCTCCGCCGGGACCCGCCTTGGCTGAAGCCACCGGTGTGTCATCTGGACAGGAGACAGTCTGGGGTTTAAGTAAATTGCTTTAGCCAAAGTAGAAATCTGAAGCATTATGTCCCTTTTATTTGGCTTTTTGGATACCAGCCAATTTAGGATGACCCAGCTCAGGAACAGGAACTGAGATGATCAGCTTCCATTAATAAACACAACTGCTGATGGCATGGAAATAAAGAGGAAAAGCATGAAAAGTACAAGTAGATGGACTCCAAATAAAATCTACTTAGTTGCCTTGTGCTTGTACAAAGTCACAAGAAGAATATGTGCATGGAAGGTCATTTTTAGGAGTGTAGTTATAGATTAAATAATTTTTTAAAAACTGACAAAAACATGTTCTCTAGGTGTGCTTTTGCTGAAAGGTGTGGGTAGCGGCTTTAAATTTGTAGCACATCAATTTGGATAAAGATTTAGAGCCTCTCTATTATTAATCATATCTGAGCCCAGAATGGTAGATCCTGGGTTTTTGATCAAGAAGTCAGCTGATATAACAAAATGCCTTTCATTTGTTCACTTTCAAAGGATTTAGTTTTTAGAGAATTTGGTTGCAAAACATAGCTCACAATTTGGAAATAATTTTCTGAAAAGACGTAGCTTTGTTTTCTAAATCATTGACCTTTCTTTTTTTGATGAAAAACTATTAAAATGTACTACCTACCTTCCCACTCAAGGTCATTGCCGTTGGTTATGAACTCCAGTGAATCTGTTTCATCCGGTGTATCAATGTCGTCCACATTGATGTCCAAGTCATCCGGGGTGTCCAGGAAATCATCTGACAGCAGAGAACCTTCACTTTGATCCAAGGACAGATTCATCTCAGGGGCCACTAGGGTGCGGCGTTTGCGGTGAGACGAACCCACGACACCCCCTCCTCCAGGTGGGCTCATGTGTAAGGAATTAGGAGGAGCTTCAGCAATAAATTAAAAGGCAAGACTCCTTTTATGACAGATTCAAGAAGTTCAACGTCAATATTAGCCAGTGACAGTTCTGTACTTACAGACTCTGTTGTCTGTGAGTCCACAGGAGGGATCCATGTCTCCGTACTCAGGGAGAGGCCTGGAGGGAAAACAGGCCTTCTTAAGTTTGGCACACCAGTCTTAATATATATCAGGACTCATTATAACAGGAACTGTTGTGCTTAGAGTGATGTTTAATGAACTAGACAACGTGGGGATCTTGCCACTAATCTGGGAAAAGGGGAGTAAGCAGATGGGCAAAAGTGCTTATTAAAGTCTTGCTTTGGAGACTAGAAGATTACAGAGCTGCCATGGATTTCAGAGGACAAAAGAGAGGGAGCAGAGGTAAAGAGAAAAAGAAAGAGAAGATGGAAAAAACAAAAAAGGCCCATTTTTATTTTCCTTCAAGATATTTACTGTAAAAAGAGAGAAGGACCTCATTTTAAAATCTGCTTCTTTTTGTTTAATACCTAATGTTGGTATTAAACAAGCAAAATAATGCAAACTTTTCCTGTTTTGGAAAAGTACCTTCTCATATTTTGTCACACTAAAACCACCAGCTTGTATGCATACAATGAAAGCAAAGCAGCGCATAACATTGCATATCGAATGTCAAACGATACATGGCTGTCTTAATATTTTATCAACAAATAAACGTTCGAAAAATGTTGCCTGCCTTTGTACTCAGCCACTTTTAGAGTGGCACCCCAAAACACAATCTAATTTAACCAAATTAATTCAGATTTCAAATAATTTGCGATTTAATCACACCATAAATACATCTGTTCTTCCAGCAGAACGTCAACAATATGTAGCCAGAGTTCAATTCAATCAGGAACCTGTGGTGAGACTTGCTGTTGACAGATACTTTCCATACAATCTGAGGATGAGCAATTTTATAAAGAAGAACGGAAAAAAAATTTGTAGATTCATTAAGTTAGTAGACATAAGTGTAATGCAATACAAGCAGATTCGTCTTTGAAGTTTTTGACTCAGAAGGGCAGCAAACAAATACGTTTCACATTCATCATGTTTATTTGCAAATACTTTTGAAAACCACATATGTTCTTCCTTCATTTTCACAATTATGTACTACTTTGTGTTGGTCAGTTATTTCAGATCTCAATAAAATAAAAATTAGGCTGTATGGTTATAACATGACAACGTAAGAAAAAGTTTCATTTTCCAATTGGCAGCATAAAGATGTGTTTTTATAATACCTGCTGAGCTGTTCTACAGATTTGATTTTCGTGTACTGTCGTTCTTCTGTACATTGTGTGACTGCATGTGGTTCCCACAAGCCCAAAACACACAGACTGCAGTTCAGAGAAGCAGACTTGAGGCTGACTCCATACTCCCTGAGGACTCATGCAGCGATTACTGGTGCAATGCCTCCTTTGTCCAAAATAAAGCCTTTCTGCAGAAATGAGGGCTCACTCCAGGGTATTTTATCATTTTTAACAAAAGGAACAATCTTCTCTTTTCTTCATCTTTGCGGCTGCATCACCCCAGTCTATGAACTCAAATAACAAATTAAGCTTACCTGCAGGAGAGAGAACGGTGCAGCTTTTGTCAGAGCCGATTCAGTTAAGCTTTTTGACCTCACACACATCTATATCAGGTTTGCTTGGTCATTCCCTGTCCGACCAGCTTGTGGGAGAAAACATTAAAGCCGAGCATCTATCTGTGCTGTCAACGCCTGTGTCTTTGGCCAAAAGCTGCAACCATTTTCCTTGGGTGGTGTTGTTGATCATTCACTGCTGATGCATCACATGACGTAGGCACAGACCATTTACAGACAGAGCTGCACCTGCTCCCCTCCTTCCTGCCTTCCTATTTGATGAGGAATGAGGAAGGAAGGAGGAGGAGGGAGCCTAGGATTGATTTCCACCAAGAGCCCCTCTACTTCATTTTCTCCCAACAAGCTCCGCATTCCAGCCTGCACACATCGCATAAAGATGTCTAACCATTTCTGTTCTATTTCTATGTTACTGTAGCCAACAGTAAATTACAAAACACTCTTTGCTGTTGTGTCAGTTATGTCTTGAGAATATAACTATACATCTTTGTTTTATTTTATACGTTCCTTTGTAACATCCCATAAAGAAAACTGTAGGTTCACTATTTTCTAGTCTTATTTGCTTCTTTCCCTTGAAATAATTTCCTCCACCTTTCTCCCTTACTATTCATCTGTGGAGTTCAAGACCAATAGATTCTCACAGCTATTGAGCAGTACTTCTCCACTGCTCCTCCAGAGTTACCAAGGGAGTCTTGGCAGTTTGTCTCATTCAAGATCTCCAAGCCCAGTTTTTTAGTTCAGGTGGACGCCTTTGTCTTGGTAAGGTCGCAGTTTTGCCATACTTTTTCCATTTTATGGATGTTTGGGAAGGTGTTCAACGCTTCAAATATTGTTTAGTACTCTAATTGATTTACTGTTGTCTGAGGTTTTATTTCTAAACATTCTGCTGTGTTTATGATGCTGTTAGTTTGCTAATGTCCAACAAAACTGCAGAGTCTTCACAGAGCAGCAGGACTCAAACTGAGGTTAAATAACATGTAGACTCAATTTCTGAGTTGAACAACTTGGCAGAGCATTTGGTTATTTTATGTAGCGGTTTCAAGGAAAGGCGATTTAAATACAAATGCATGCCACACTTTTCAAATTTGTATTTGGAAAAAAAAGGTTTTTACCTCAAAATTGAGTTGCATTGCTTTGTCTCATAAAATGGCAATAAAATACATTGAAGTTTGTAGTTTCAACATGTGAAAATGTGAAACAGTTGGAGGGATTTGAACCCCATTTCAAGTCTCTTATGAATCACCAACCATAACTGGACACAGGACAACTAAATCTACACAAGCAAAATAAAATTATTCCAAAAAAACAATAGGATGTTTGCAAAAGGGTTCTGATAGATCTTTACATATTTTCCAGACATATTAATCTTGAAATAAAAATATTGTTGCATGGCTTGAATCTGTCAATGTAAATCTTTGTGCATATTTCTCACATCAGTAAAGGTTTTATTAAATAATATTTAATAGTAGGCACAAGGATCTAACCTGGGGAAGTCTTCATCCTGCCACTCGTCTTTTACTTCCATGTGCTCCATTCGTAGAGTTGCCTCCGTTGTGCCCATCCCTCAGAGGGAAGAACACGGATCTGGACAAGTGTGGAAAAGCGTCAAGTAATCAACAACATTCATGTTTCATGTTAAGATAAAAATTGCTGCAATTCCAGAGTAATATTTTGCCCCAAACTCTGCCCTAAAGGAGGGAGGGATCTCGCTAAAATAATTAACTCTCTTTCACTACAATTTAAAGGCTGAAACCATTATGGATCACATGGCTTTCAAACCCTTGCCCACAAAAGCGCATGTGAGACCCATGTGACAGAAAGAGCTCGTTTTCTGGGCTCAGCTCCCTCAAAGTCAAACATTACGGACAAATTTCCTTCAATGTGGAATTTAAGAGGCCAGTGCGGAGCACCATGTTCTGGCTTAATCCTTCCTCTTTGCTCCCTAATCTTTCCACACTCCTACCTTTTGATCTCCATGAACACTGGAGGCTTTATACTGCAGAAATAACATGCATTCATCTGTCCACTAATGGTTGAAAATATGTGACATTCTGATGAAATACGAGGGGAAATACTGACTGCACAGATCTTTGATCACAAGGAATGAAGCAAAAATAAGTGATTTTATGGTGCATCATAAAATCACATTTGGAAGTAACACATATATATTATTTAATCATATTGACCATTTAAGAAACACAGTGGAAATAAATTGATGTTTATCTTAAGACAATGAAAAAATGTTTGCTTGTACAGTTATGCAAAACATGTATGTATTAGTTAAAGATGCAACACTGCAGTCCTGTCTTTCATCAAAATCCAATACAATCAGAGTTGCTATGCATCAACTTTATAATAAAATGGCTCCACTCCTGTTGTAGGTCACCCCAAACCGAGCATCCCTTGAAAAAAATTTTTAAATAATTTGAGATATTAATTTAAAAAATCTACTATTTGTATCATCAGTACCAGAAGTCTGACCTGTGCAGCAAGCAGAATTTAAAAATGTTAAATTAAGCGTGTGTGTTTGAGTAATGTGTTTACTCACATGAACGGTGAGATCCAAATCTCCCTCAGGTCTATGTCTGAGTGTCTTTTTCCTCCTTGGTCACAGATGCAAGGATTTCAGGCAAGAATCTCCCATATCAACTGAGAAGCATGGGTCAGTCTGTCTTTCATCAATTTATATGCATACACACTGCAAAGTAGACACAGCCCTACAGTGTCCAGAGTGTCAGCAACTAGCAGGCAGCAGGTGTCTGAAGACAGGGGAGACCTCTGTTGTGGATCACCCCTCCTCTCCTCCTGCTCCGGCCACCTTTGTTGGAGAAAGATTGGCCGTGACGAATGAGCCCACAGCCCGCTTCTCAACCCACCAAGACACAAAATTCCTTTAATGGGAATGCATCTGCTCTGGCACCATGGTCCTTCTCTCTAGCTTCCATCTTTGTCCTCATGTGTATTCATGTACAACCTCACAATTTTTACCAGTTCCAAATCGTTTCCCTTGAAACAAAATCCTCCACGGCACCAGCTTAATTGTAACTTGGGGGAAATGAGCTTTGGTCTCTGTATCCTTTACTCTGCTGGATAATCCCGCAGTTGTTTTCTGTCGTCCGCTATATGGCTGCTGTTCCCTGGCAACAACATCTCTTTCTCTCTCCATCTCTCTCAACCCATCTCTCTCCCCTCCCTTCCTGTCTCCTTGCCCCAATCTCTTTCACACAGCACACCACGGCTCTTCATACAACATGAAGTATGAAGTACCTTACCTCACTTTTGACCAGCCAATCATCTCACAGCTCCAGTTTGCCCCGCATTGTGACTTTTCCATGTGGAATTTGGGGGGGAAAAAATGTAGAAGAGGAGATGTCTTCCATATTTTCATTACATGCTGTTTCATAGTAAATTGAAATGAACAAAACACCTCTGATGATATGTTATTACCAAATAACCATAATCACAATGATTAGCCGTCCTTTTTGTCTTTGAGGATTGACATGACATGTCATATGTCAAATAATAATTATTAGGATTATGATATTCGTGATGATAATACATAGCTTGCCTTTTTGTCCTTGTGGATTGACATGACATGTAATATGTCAAGTGATGAGTTATTATTATTATTGTTATTATTATTATTACTAAGCATTTTTCGATGAAAAAATGCAGAATATAAATGCAAAACAAATCTAAAATAATGAACATGCAGCTGATTTTTATTTTTAGCTCATTCTTATTCTAAGAACACTACTTGCATGAATAAATAATAATAATAATACACCAAAATATTTAACCGTATTTATTGCGTTCAGCTTTACCCACTGGGGGAAATGCGCTTCTAAGTACTTCCGTCTTTGCTCAATTACCAGCAGAAGAGCACTCAAACGTCGAAAACAATCTTTTAAACCCACTTGCTAGTTATTTTTTCTTCAAATGATCCGTATTTATTCCTCTGCGCTGTGCTTGCCGTGCATGTGTCAGAGATTTATCTATTTCTGGGTGTTATCTGAACATCGTTCTCGCAGGAGCCCGGACGGTGGGAACTATCTTGACGCTGAGAACCTTCGCTTCGCTGCTGTTTGTCCCAGACTGTGGTACTGTACTGTACCGGGGAGCTCGGCTAAAATGGCTGCAAGCAACTATTTCGGGTTCACGCATGGTGCCAGTCCGCAGTACAGGTATTTCACACCACATACGTCGTCGCCACCGTTCGAGTTAAGTCGAAGTTACCTGTTTCTGGAGGATAGTCGGAGGAGACAGGGTCGTCATCGACCCTCTGGTTCGGTAACGGTTAGCTAACGTTAGCTAACCGAACTGGCAGGCCAGGGTTTAACCGACTCGCGGCTTGACATTAGATGAACCCCACATTGCGGGCATCCTCCGCGGTGAAGGAGCTTTAGGCAGTCCGGCTGTTTTGTTTCATGCCGAGATGTGACATAACAGGGACAGACAGGTATAGCAGGCTTTGTGCGGCTCGACAATGGAGCTGGTTGCGGCGGCAGGTAAGGTTTTTGGCCGGTGTTTGGGATTATGGAGGCTCACGCTGCTCCAGTAACGCCGCGCTCTCTCAGCAGTCAAAAGTTTTTGGCATGTACAGGATTAGTTGGATTCTTGTGGGCAGGCAGACAGCCAGCTAATTAGTGAAACAACCGGGCAGGTCTGACTTTTGTAAACGTGAGTCATTAATAAATCTCCTGCAAACCTGACAGGTATTCTTATAAATTGAATTATAATTATTCTGCGGTCAAGGTGCTGCGAAGTTTTCCTGTTCTGGCCTGGATTCCAGCCAACACATTTTGGCAAACAGGAATAGCTTCGTAGCTGTCTGTGCACCCTTAAAGTTTCCACTACCCTATGATTAACTTAACACAAGACGTTTCTTTACATACATTTATGTAAGAGTATGTTAAACTCCTATTATATACCAGTAAAACATTAAAAAAACAACAAAAATCTTTGGGTGCTTTATTTGTCTATACATTTTAATTTACAGGTGGTGGAAAAAGTAGCCTAGATCTGTAATACATAATACTATTTTAGAATGTGTGTGTGTGTGTGTGTTTTTTTAGTAGTTTCATTTCATTTTTCATTGTGAAAAAAGCTGTAAATAAGTAAAATAGTATTTTCCTTAACATGTTAAAGTACGGTCAAATGTCATTTGATTTGTACTGTTCAGTAATGATACATGACCCTGGCATATTTGCATTTAAAATACATTTTTGATTCCACAAAGAAGTTCTCAAAGTATCAGAACAAACTCTGTGAAAATGATTAACAATGTCTTTAAACATGTATCAAACATTTCAATAAAAACTGGTACTTTGAAAGTATATGTGTGCTCAGTAATTGGAGGGAAGATTTTTACAGTAATCAAACCTCATAATTGCTGACCAGCTTTTTGCATGTTTGTACTGGGGTTCTGATTATGAAGCTTACCTGGTTAAGCTCCAGGTGTTTGAAGACTCTGGCTGTGCCGCTCTGCAGCAGAAATATTACTTTCAGTCAGAGATTACGTGTTGGTAAAATTAAATTACTTTAAGCTAAAAACCTTTCATTTTAGGTAAAACTATAAACATGTCACAGTTACAGTCTGTGGTCTTGTTGTCTGGACTAATTCAATGAGTGTATTCTAGTTCAAGCAATTGGAATATCATTGTGGAACATTCTGATTATATGGTTGCGTTTAACACACATTTCCCTCATTCCTCTATCTGTTTTCCATTATCATCATGTCCCCACCAATCTCTGTTAGCTTTAGTATCTTTATTATTAAAATATGTCTTAGCAAATTATTTGGATGCCAAGTGTAAATGCAGAACAACTGAAGTATAAAAATCTTACCACATATTCCATCCAGGCAGTCGTCTGCAGTTGCAATATTGCAAGCCTTTAGATGGCGGTGGCTATTGTGATACAGTTTTGCACAGATTCATATTACAATAAAGCAAAAATAAACTGAGAATTTTATCAATATTTATGCTGATACTTAATTACAAATATGAGAATAAAAATGTAAGAGTTTATCACAGTTTTTTGGATGCAAACTCATCAATGCATACAAACTGTAAGCATAAATATTGCTCTAAGAATAAAATTACCGAAAAGGCCTCACAACACCTGCTAAACACTACACAATAATACTAATGTTCAATCATATTTTCAAACTGTAATTCGATCTTTATATGTGAGCCAACAGTGGAAGAATAACAACTGATTTATGTTTTGATTTAGGTTTATAATTTACAGTCGGGCAGTGAAATGAAAATATTTTATGAAGGAACAGACGATCTCAATAACAGCCGTAAAGGTGCATTGTAAAATTTTATCAGACGATACATGTGGCCTATCAGGCATTTCTTGTAGTCGTCACCCTTCTTTAAGAGTTTTTTCCGGAAGAGCTTGAAACTTGTTATGTAAACTTGAATGTTATTACTTTATGTTTACACTAAACATATTTGCCCTATTGCAAACGGGTTTAGTTCATCCGTATATTGTTAGTTGAGTAATTGTTATTTTTTTACTTTGTTGTTATCCATAGCAATGACCACTTTAGGTAATTGTGTGTTTAGTTTATGGAGTTTAAACAAATAAATGGCTGTAGTTATTCATTTGAATTAAAATTAGTTTAATCAGTTTTTATTGAAACACATGCTGTCTAAGAAATTATGCTGTGAATTTGGAACCATATGATGAAGTTGATCAAAATTGCTTAAAGCAGTAAAATATTGTGGGTTTTTTTTCTTTTTGTGTGTCCATACTGCTAGTTTTATTTTAGAGAGATAACCATTTATGATACAATATGTGTAATATAACATAATGTGATATTGCCCATCCCTGTTGACATGGCCACATATTCAACCTCACAGATGTCTTTTCTAAATTTATAATTCAACTTTGTTTACTTGTAAGGCCTATTACATTCCTCAAGGGCACATGGGAAGCTTTTTTTTAACTGGATATTTTAATAAAGTAAAAATTTATAGTAACAAGGCTATATTCTTGTGCAAATATATACTTAAGAAAACCATTTTCAGAAAATGTAGGATGTCATGTAGTTGGGATAACCGTTTACATATCCACAGAAAAAGTTACACTCCCGAACCATGCTACAGTTTTTATATGAAATCAATACTACACGTTATGTTTATATAATGAAAGCACCCTGGTCCAAAACAAATTCCTGCATGTGTCTGGATGCACTGATAAAGTCTGACTTTAAAGTCTAGATTTACTGAGCTGTCACAGCCTGGAGGTTTTACAGGAAAACTGGCTCCATCAAGGTAGCTGCAAGATGATTTGTGGCTTGAGGCTTGTCTTTGTGAAAGAATTACAGAACTGTTTTGGGAAAGAGACTTGAGTCATCAGCTGAAGCCAAAAGGGCCTGCGGGGAAGCTGGACACAAAACTGTTATTAACATTGGAATGAAAGAAAACAAAAATGAGTTTTATAGATAAGTTATCAGTTTGGATTAGATAAGAACATTATTGATAAACTTTAATATGTTTAATGTGCTGCTGGTCTTTTGACTGACTAAAGGAAACAAGGACATTTGTTGGTATCTCATTGTGAAACAGGTAAATGATCAAGACAGTTGGATTCACCTGGACACTAAACGCATAACTGAACATTGAGATTTCTGATTACTAAGTTGTTTTTTTAAACAAATAGTAAAGTATTATGTCAAAGGGGTATTCCTTACTGTGTCTTATTGCAAACTTATGATGAAATGTAAAGACAATGGCCTGAGAGATATCTACAAAGTTGGAATCTGTTAATTGTTTTTCATGTGTGTAGTCAAGCTGTCAAAAACCTAATGGAGATTATTGGAAGTTTATAAAATGATCCCTTCAAATGTAGGGATAACCTTTGAAGTGGTTGATTGAAATTTTTTTAGTGGTATTTGTGACCCATTCTGAACCAGGATCAGAGATTATGTACTGGTACATGATCAATGGCATACACAATATTTAGAAGCAGCATGTCATCTGATCTTATTTTGTGAAAAAAGCTTCACTCTTGGCCAATTACCAACTATTGTGCTGGTGTTAAAGTTGACCCAGTTCTTTGGCTTTTTTCTTTCTTTGTTTAGTACCCAACCTCCCACGGCTTACTCCCATCCCTCTACAGCCAGCTACAGTGTCCAACAGGCTCCAGCAGTGGCCCATGCAGTGACGGCCTCCTACTCCCCAGCTCCGGTCCAGGCAGCCAGGCCAGTGGCCTCCTCGCCCTACCCTGCCTACCAGAGCCACCAGGCACCTCCAGACTACACCTACAGGCAGCCCGATCCTCCACAGGCCACCACCACCCCACAGACGTACCAGGTATACTCAGACATGGTCAGTTTCCCTTTGCTTCTATTATCATTTTTGCTGTTCTCTTTTGAATTACATGTTACAA